CCCCAAAACCCCAAAACCCCAAAACCCCAAAACCCCAGCTGTTAGTCCATTAATTGAATTAGCTAAATTTTTGGAATATTAATACTCCAATAACACAAAGTATAACAAGTGTTAATCCCCAGCCGGTTTTCTTTTCTGTCTCTTTGATTTCTCCCTCATATATTTCCTTCTCAACTTCGCTTCTTTTTATTCTCTCTTTGCTGATCTCAATCTTACTGAAATGGGGCTCGAATAGCTTGACGAAGATGCTAGTGTTCATGTTGTATGCAATGGAGCTGGCAGCGAGTCTTCTACGTTCCTCGTCACTCTTCCTCTCTCATCCTGTTGTTAGCTCGTCTGTGGTCATAAAGCTTACCTAAATTTGGTTTTTATATGAGGATAGAGGTAGCCAAGACTTATAACTTAACCAGTCTGCCTCTTAGATATATGATTGCAGAGAGCTTCAAGCCAGGTTATTTAAAGCTACTGCTTTTCCTGGCTTTAAGATTTTAAATAGGCCCATTAAGAAGCAAGGAGATGACATACTGTCTGCCTTTAAGTGAAAAGAAGAAATGCCTAGGGTATTGAATCAAGAGATTCTAGCTAGTAAATCCAGAGGAGTAAAATATAATGGTTCTCTCGATACTTTTAATAAGTTTTAAGAATGCTACATATTTTCCCTAAAATTTTCTTAAGAAAGGATTAAAAATTAATAAGAGTCTTAAAGTCGTTCATGATGCTATTATCTGTATCTTCTTTACTTTAAACGAAAAAGTTGTAGTAATCTCAATAAAGTATCTAACAGATCATCACATAGATTGGAGGAGCTGACAAGGACTCATATTGTAAACCTAAGTTGTAAAGGAAGCTCTCTTCATGATGGTATTAGCTAATGCATAAAATTAATTATGACTACTATGATCTAGTTAAAACTCACCAATCCTATCAATACTTTTGAGATGCTCCATGATGGAGACCACGTCTCAGGGTGGAAGTCTGACATAGAGAGACAAATCCTAGTATTGGTCTTGAACCTCCCATTTGGAGTCATCATCATAATCCCAGGGGGTTTGACAGGATACTCTGGAGGTAAAATCAGTTTTCCATGATAAAATCCTCCTTCATAGGGTCAGTCTTCAAGATCATAGATTACAAAATGCCATTCGTATAAGTTCTTTGGATTTGGCTCAATTAAAAGGTTAGTCAATGTCTTATCTTTTTGTATTGCAATGTATTCCTTCTTTATTCTATTTAACCCGAGTTTATTAGTTCCTCCCATTTTCAATATTATTTCATTAAAAGGGGTTTTGGGGTTTTGGGGTTTTGGGGTTTTGGGG